GTAGAAAAGTGCTGTCTGTACATTGAAAATAAAAATAAAAAAAATAGCAGGGGCTATTATCTAAAATAAAAATAAGTATATATTTAAAAAAAAACGCTGCTCATAGTCACTATTCTACGCGAACGAAGTCGCGGGCACAGCTAGTAACAAAATATGTGTGTATTTGTAATAATTCTTGTAAATCATTAAATCTGTGTTGGACTTGTGTGTTTATTATTATCAGCCAACCATGTTTGTTTACTTAGCAATGGTAAACTGTATTTACCATTGAACCACATGAAACATGCGGTAGACGATATCAATTAGGTCCCTGCTTTAATGTTGCAGATAGAAGAAAGATTTAAACCGTTCAACTGAGGTTTAACGCATTACCATTAGTAGGTTAATATTTATTAGTGTGTTGTAGCTGTGTACATTATTTACAATCATATATTTATGAAATTGACTGACTGCCTCGTTGGTTGAGTGGTCGCAAGTGCGATTGTAAGGGGTTTCGCGTTTTTCTATTCCCGCGTAGGGCAAAGTATTAATGGGTTTTGAAAAAAATCTCAGTAGTAGCACGGAGTCTGAAATTGCACCCCTATTACATGGGACTCATAACATAAATAGTGAAAAGTGCGGTGTTACATTGTACAGTTGGTATTAAGTGCCGTAATGTGCACCTCTGCCAACCCCTACGGGGATAAAAGGCGTGATGTTATGTTATTTATGAAATTGTTGAATTACCGCAACGAGACCACCTAACTTGAAGTTAAAGGAAAGTTCAATTGTCATAAAAATCTAAGTTTTAAGCAAAATATAGAGGAATGTCGGTATATGAATCTAGATTAAAAGTCAGATAATATTACTGGAACAATGTGACCACCCTATGAGCAACAGTTATTTTAAAACTGGACTTTGAATTGGGTAAGGTCGCAATCGCAACTAGCTTTCCGTGTCAATAAATCGCGCTTCCGAAATATGTTCCAAGAATAACTTCAGTTGATGTAAACCACGGTAGTTTCTATGATATAACTTCATTAGTAATTGAGCTGTACCCATGTACCAATGTTCGTTTTTAGAAAGTCCCCAATTGAAATTGTTGCGTGTCTGTCAAGCGATTGCATCTCTAATTATATCTATCAGCTAAACCCCTCGTTTTCACAATATTTTCGCCCCTAAGGTTTCCTTTAATTTTTTAGATCATCACCTATCCTATATATATAAAAATAAAACCCGTTTCCCGTTGTCATGCCATAACTTGAGAACGGCTAGACCGATTTGGCTGATCCTTTTTTGTAGTGTCTGTTATTGTCAGGTGAAGGTTCTTATCACAGAAAAAAGTTCTGAAAATCCTACGGGAACGGGAGAAAACGGGATTGCGTGTACGAAGTCGCGGACAGAAGGTAGTATATCATAAAATAACTGCCTTTTCCTTAGTCAAATAGTGGCAGTGGCACTCAAATGAGAAAGAAGTTTTTGTTTGTCATACTAATTAAAATAAAACCTTTTAAAGTAATTTCCCGGGTGAACGTTCAGAGCCGAAAACTAACACTGCGTGCCAACCCATCTAAATGAAAGGCAATCAGGCAAAAAGCTAATTCACGAACAACTCGTGAATTAAGTACTTTTGACTATAATTTGCGAAGAGTTCCACAACTCTTGCTTATACTCAAATTAATGTTATTAACTCATAGGATATCGCGACCATTGCCATCGTCCGTTGTGCTTCATCATATACAGAATTCAATGGAAATAAAATTGTACAATGAAGTACTAAAAGATTAGTGATGAAACTTGAAAGGGATGTATATCATCAGCGCCTATAGGCGCTATATCGGTATATCGCTATACCGCGGGGTTTTTTTTTTGTCGCGGAGAACCTAACGGGTTACCGGGGCTCCGGCTCGACGGGCAGGAGAAGAAACGGGGTGCTGAGAAGGAACAGTAAGAGTCTGACACTCCCTCCCGCCTCACCCAGGCGGGAGCAGTCATTCGATGATTTTTGTGAGGAAAAAAATCTTACAATGTGTTTACACACTTTAGTTTTTCTCCCCGAAAGCTAAGCACCTTTTTAATATTTAGGTACCATATTTACCAATCCGGCTAACTTCTAAATAACTAACAATATTATGTGCTCTGCACGACTATCATAAGGAAATAGGTATCATTATTTCTATTGCATGTAAAAGTTAATATAGTTCTGATAAATGCTCTGTCCATAACTGTTCTTGTTTGTTGCATATAATTGTTTGTTTGCAAAAAGACTTAGCTGCCCGCTAACAGTGCAATGTGACGAGCAGTAGACAGTAATATGACGTGCAATGGAAATGCATGCATTGTTCTTTTATTATTTGTCCCTTTATTATGTACCTATCACATTGTTAGAAACTGTACCTATCAGTATCACATAGCTGTGGCAATTTATAATTTTCCCCTGCAGGTATGTTCATAATTTGTCCTAAGGTAATACTGTTGATGATGTCATATTAAACGAGAATCTACTAATTTGTTTAGGGTGCTTATCAATATAAATATTGCAGAAATTAGATATTTAGACTAGTAAGCTTGGCCTTGAAAATTATTTTTATGAATACAAAATGTTATTTAAGCATTCAATAAAAAAAACTGTTCGCCTCGTTGGCCGAGCGGTCACAAGTGCGAGTACTGAGCAGGGTGTCTCGGGTTCGTGCTCGTTCTTCTTCATTCGAATCTACGTTTTGGAATGAGCACCTAGCTTCACCTAATTTCACTGACGGACTGACTGACAGACTATTATTTATTTTGTATTTGTTGACGTTTCAAAAGTACCAAACTATGGTTTAATTGAAATAGATGCTTTGACTTTGACTCAGACTCACCCTCTATTACATGGGCCTCGTAAGATAAATAGTGAGAGGTGAGTGTTATGTTGTACAGTGGCATTAAGTGCCGTAATGTGCACCTCTGCATACCCATTCGGGGACAAAAGGCGAGGCGTTATGTATGTATGTAAATAAAAACACGTGCTAAAAGAGCTTTAGGATTAACACAGTTGCCGTCCGCTCAAAAGAACGTGACCCGACTGTAACCGAAGTTGAGAAAGAAACAAGTTTTTCGGTCTTTGGTACATAGGTGTATGTACCAACATAATATATGTTTACAACCGCTATTCGAGCACCAACCTGTTGAAAGACCCTCTATCCTTCGACTTTCTTAAAAAAGAACAAAAGCAACACTAACGCCACGCAATGAAATTCATCGTAAATATTGTTTACATTTTTTTATATTTTCAAGGTTCAAATGGATTCGAGTACAACACATTACTCGTACTCGTAGCTATAAGAATGAAATGAAAATAACTCTTTCATAATCCTATAGTACTAGTTCCCGATAGAAAACATGACTTAAAAACGATCATACTTTCAATGGATAAGTACAAAATTTACGTAGTAATGGAATAACACATTTCATCCAATTTTCCTGGAGGTCGCAGGGAGTAAATGAATACTCTATTGATTGTGGGTTGAAGGACGGTTTGTTTACATCGAGAGAGGTCAATTGGGGCTGAGCAGCTCGGCAAGCTATCGCAACGAGGATCGAACGAGTTTTTTAAACGCCCTGTATCTAGTATTAGCAGTATTGCGTGTTGCTTTTCATTAAATTTCGTAGCGTTACTGTCTCCTGAGGCCTTTGTAACATAATGTTGCTAAATGAACTGTGTCTATTCGTCAATGAAACTTTCATTTTACTATACGTCTATCTATACACTTTTTGGATAAACTGACTACTGGCTAGCTTGTCTAGGTCTAGCTAGACAGTCGTACAACTATTAATTACTAGTACCTATACAGTTACTAGTTTTCAGTAATTGTTAGTCCATTCTACTATGTTCATTGAAGTAAAAGTTCAATTATTTTCAGTGCTTTTAAGCAATAAGCATAGAACTTATGACCTCAATAATTCTAAATTTTAACCTCAAATGGAAAATGAGTATAAATTCCATAGTTTTATTATAATATTGTGCCACATTGTTGTCAGTGGGTGGGCGGTATGCGCGGTGCAATATAAAGTGAAGCACGTGTACTGAAGCAAGTGAGCATGATTGTTGAATCGATGTAAATCATATCAGGAAATCTATTTCTAGCAATTGGCAATACAAAGCACGTGACCTGTGAACGAATTTTAGACTGATTTATGGCCACGGGACATTTATGTAAAAAGTCAATTAACATGACCGTGATTCTTACTATGTTCGTCGGCTATTAATGGTACTATTGGTTATAAGCTCTCAAAGTGTAGAAAAAAATTAAATGTTTATTAAGACGATTATATTGCTTGATCTTAGAATTGATTATTGGAAACATTAAAAACTTACATGAAACGAGAAACGTATTTTTTTGGGTGCGAAACAAGTTCTTAAACAACTTAAACCCCTAACAACCAAACACACAAGGAAACAGGAGCAAGAAGTAAGAATAAGTGAACGTTTTCTTCGAATTGAACGTATGAATCTTGTAGCGAAAAAAATGAAAGATTAAATTTACATACAGTATTCAACCAGTTCAACATAATATCAACAGTTAATAATGTATTCTAAACTCACCTGCGCTTTACTTTCCCAGTCCATGCCAACTGCACAGATGAAGCACATGACGACCAGCGCCACGGCTCCCACAATCCTGACGTCATTCAGTCCACCGTCAATTATCTTCACATCATAACTCTTCAAAAGGTCATTCAAGGAGTCACAGAAACCAATCGTATTCATACTGGCTGCTACGGCATTGGCGAAGGCAAAGATAATGCCTACTGATGCACCGAACTCCGGACCCAAGGATCTTGAGATTATGTAGTAGATACCACCTGTGGGATGAAAAGTGCATTGAAAATCCAAAACATTGCGATTTGGTTTTATTTTATAAAGGTAGTCTCATCGAGCACCTTAACAGAAACTACTTATAGGTCAGGTCACCGAGACACCTTAGCTACCTTTCTGAGATTCTGATCAACCAGTAACAACATGAAGTTCAACATTTTTTCCAATTTATTTTTAGTCTCCATTCACACAACAACATTCTTCTCAAGCATACACACGATACAAAGAATGACTATAGGTATACCTTCCGTGATCATACGTCGCAGATGTTAATCTTAATAGAGATTACTGTGCCCTATTGTGTAAATGTCGTCATATTATTTAGTAGCACTGTGTTACTAAGTCGTTACATTTCCCTAGTTCACACAAAAGACTAAAGGCAATACAACGGATGACAGGAAATCATTGTTCCCCCTGTCGTCTTTTGCCTCGCTGCGCTAATTATATAGTCAGCTAAAACTCCTGCAAGTATTCTGCTAAAATTACGGTTTATGAAAAAAAACAAACTGCAAACAGAATATTTGTTGTAATTTACAATGAACTAATCAGTTTTTTATTACAATTTAAATAGATATGAAAGTCGAAAATAGGCCGAAGTCAATCAGCCAAGACAGGAGACAACTGCCAGCAAATTATTTGGTACCTGTCTAATAGAGCAAGAGACTATTTAATCATAGTCTAGCTAAGAGAAGTGATCGTTAAACTATACCGTAACTCCTAGAACTAAACACGACACACAAGGCCTATAATTTGAGAGTAGTTAGGTGAGGAGTTGAGGACGTTTGCCTCAGCAATATAAATAGCTGCTTTACAAGGACTTTAAGGCTCGAACCATTCCATGCCAATCTAAACAGTGCAATGGCACTGGTGCAAATCGAAAATGAATTCCCAAGAATCGGTTGCTAGCAAGCGGTGAGTCATGTCACTGCATTTAGTTATTGGTGAAGATGCCATGATGCTATCACTCAATAAATATTCGTTATTCAATTATCTTTGATTCATGTATTAACATATTGATTAACTTTACAAAGAAATGTATCATCATTGAAAACTTCCGGAATCGATTATAGAATAATATCCATCACTGGATGGTATCTACCTAAGACTGATCTACAGCACAATTTAATTTCTCTCCTCAATGTTATGAAACCGGTAAAAATATCAATATTATTAACAAACAAATAAAAAAACAATGACAAACCTCCTTTTACTTCTCCATTGGTGCATATTGCGCTCATGGAGAGTGTTGTGATGACACACACGAATGCAGATATAGCGATGATGACCAGAGACAGGCCGATACCTGCTTGAGAGACTACCCAGGATATGCGGAGGAACAGCATCACACCCCAGATGTTCAGCAGACATGGTATCAACACACCCTAAAAATAATTCGAAGGATTAAGAGCAAGACCAAAGAAATTCTTGTTGGATAGGATTTAGAACCATGTAAGTAAGACTGCACTTATATTTTGACCTAATAACAAGTTACGCTTATTCAACGAATCAATGCAATACAAATTGCACTTACTTGAATCCATCCTAATTTTATTCCAATAGCAGGTGTCGGTGACTTTGTATCCCTAGTCTGTTGTTGCTGTACTTTCTCGTCCTGAAACCAAATGTAATGATTAATTCTCTTTGGTTAATTTCTGTCACTGACTGACCATTTGAGGGCAAAATAAAGGTGTATCCAATCAGCAACAATGTATACAAACATAAATCCGTAAGTTTATTGTTTCTGTCGTGTGTGATGCAGATGATTATCATGGATGTAATCAGTCCAGTGAGTGGCAGGTGACGGCATTCGCCGCCATGATGGAAACCGGCTGTCTCGCACTCTGTCCATGGATAATCTATGCTATAACAATGCGCTCGTGTATCGTTCCCAGACGTGTCGAATCAACATGTCTCGTGACCGCCATCAGGTGTATTTGTTTACATAACAATAAACATTACCTATTTATGTTTATATTCATTCAGACAACTAAAGCACGTGTTTTTCGCTAATAGACCTAGTTACGGAACTGAAATTAGCCTCCGTGGGTACACATAACCTTGATACGTAATTTGAACATAAATTACAACTTCATACTCAACATTTGGGGTTGCGATATAAAGGAGACCATCATAAATTATTAACTTTTTTTAACTGTACTGTATAAATTGAACTTTTCTCAACATCAATGTCTTACTTTTAAAAAAAAAAACATTGCCCTACATTAGTATTTTCGTGGGTGCGTTTACAAACATACAAGTTCACATACATAATGACACCCAAACCCGAAACAACAATTTGTGGATCACACAAAGTATTGTTCCGTACGGGAATCGAACCCGCGACACGTTGCACGGCAGCCGGTTGCCCAGCCACCGCACCAACAGTGCAGTCAATTGTATGTTATGTATGTTATGTAGTTAGCCAAAAACTTCAAAAATCTGACAATAAATCTATTCAAAACTATCTAAATAGCATCCTTTGGGTTGTGGAGGGTAGTCGCTTCACCGCCTCCACGGAAAATACTAAAACTAAAACTCAGTACTGATCCCAAAAACTTATTTGCTAAAAGACATGGAGAAAAAGGCTAAAGTTTTCTCAGGTTAATTGGAATAAATTAAATTTAATAAATGGAAACTTTTACAAATCAAAACAGTTTTGCATAATAATATGCATATTATAATGATCAGTCTCTGCTGCATCTGCTATATGTAATAAACCGCGCACCGAGATTGCAGATTACTAAATTTTAGGTCAAGTCAGCCCGCAGCCGTCACGTCATCGCCAGAGCTTTTAAATCTTCGTCTAATACATTTTAGAGTAAGTAGGTACCTATCGTCCGAAAACATTTTAACACATATAACCTCAATTTAAACAACATATACAATTCTTAAAAGTGCTTATATTATTTATGGCTAAGTATAAAAGTGTATGGATTGTAACGCGAGTGGTTGTACGTCGGCCAAGCTCTCAAGTGCGCCCGCTTGTACGGCGCGGCGTGCGGCGCGCTCCGGATCGCACCGGTCAAATCCGCCGCATACTCAATTTTCCTGTTCCACATGCAAAACATTACAAGACTAATCGATGGCCTTATCTTTATTCTTATACTAAGTAAGCAATCGTTTAATGTTTAATGTAATTGATTTACTTCAATTCATTTGTTTTTACGATTCGATAACGAATACACAATCTATATATATAAAATTCAAAGGTGATTGACTGACTGACTGACTGATTGACTGACTGACATAGTGATCTATCAACGCACAGCCCAAACCGCTGGACAGATTGGGCTAAAATTTGGCATACAGATAGATGTTATGACGTA